TCCGAACCGCAAAATGCTTTTCCCCACCCAAACTCTATAGCAAAAAAGATCAAAACAAACTCAATCAATTCAATTGCAACATACCAAAGCACCATAATACGCCCAAAACAGCACGAATTTTTTCGACAAACATAAAAAGCGAAGGTAGAATGACTGCCCATTAATTTGCAAATAAATTATTTTTTTTTTTTTTTTTTGGTGGTGTTAATTGACTTTGAAATGAGAGCCCCTTTTTTGCGGTTCGGATTTTTTTTTTCAGTTGGTGCCCGGCTGCGAGAGAGTGCCTCATCTCGGACCTGTCTGCCTGATGCTGGCCCATAAAAAAAAGCACCATATCTTCAGGGGGCCATCAAGTTCCTGAATTATACGCTGTGCTGTCGGCTGCGGCCGATGCAAACTTGGTATCTCAATCTAACAAGCTCGGACATGACGACATCCATTACCTCCTTTTTTGGTGACGAACGCCGATGCGAATAAAGCCAAACGTCCCCCCGGGTCAACGCCTACTACAGCCCAAAAAAAACTTGAAAGGGGTCTAGATGCAAAATGATGGAAAGAGAAGTCAGGGGGAAACAAGAGATCAGGTACGCAAAAAAACACCCTGGCGCCTCGGGAATGCAAAGGCAATACTAGAGATGGCCTCCCCGACATCAGACCGTCAGGCGGTAACTGGCATACCGGCCGGCCGTCTCACTGCTGCGTATAATCTTGACCACGTTGCCGCGCTTCAAGCCCAGGTAGCGGGCGACAGGGTCCTTGACCTGGATGCGTGGCAGCTGTGTCTCCTTGAGCCTGTACCGCTCGAGCAGCGCCGCCTTCTCGATCTTGCTGAGCAGGACGTGTTTGGGCACGAGCTCGTGGTGGGTGATGTTGACGAGCATGTCATCAAGCATGAACGCCTCGATCGTCGCGTAGTTGGCCGACGCCCCGATCAGCTTGCGCGACCCGGACGAGATGGGCGACTTGGTGATCATGATGCCCGTGTGAAAGTTGTGCTCGACCGTGTACTGGATGAAGCTGCGGATGGCCTGGATGCCCAGCGACTTGTCCGACGCGTCCCCCATGAACTCGACCCAGACCGTGCCGCACTCGGGCACCGGGTCTGGCCTCTGCTCTGTCGGCGGAGGCGTGTGCTTCTTGATCATGGCCTCGGAGGGATGGGCCGAGAACTTCAGTTTCGAGGCGCTACATGCCAGAGGTGAGCCAAGTAAGCATCCTGCCATCCGCGCACCTAACCAAATACGCCTCCATACGATTTGACTGCATCGCGGGCCGTTGGGTTGTTGGGACTTACTCCACATTGCCGGCGCCGTCGGTGTACTGTTGGAGAAAGCGATCGAGCGAGATGTTGACCTCTTCCTGCGACAGCTCGTAGCCCTACGGGAACACGCCCAGTTGTTAGCGACCAGCTCGACAGGCCGCGCAGAGCATGGTGTTGCGCAATGCGCTTCCCCCTCAGCGCGATGAAAATCACAGCGCGCAGTGGTGCTGGCTCGGAACCTGGGCGGCTGGGAGAGGCGAGGATGATGCTGGCGCGCGTACCCGGTCCTGGAGCATCTCGTGAGCTGTCCGCCACGCCCGCCATAGCCTGCGGGCCTCGCGGGTCTTCGCCTCCGTAGACTCCATTATTACTGCCGCGGTCGTGTGGTGATTATAGTCGTTGTCGTGTCTTGGGCTGTCGCGATGGCTTTTTAGCGGCCTGTTCTATCGAGACGCGATCGACTTTTTTTTTCCACCGTCTTCTGTCGCGCATCTACGGTCGCTCAAAGGCTGCGATTGAGTGGGGCCGCGCTGGAAGCCTTGTCAGTTGCAACCGCTCTCGGCTGCATGCTTAGGTAATGGAGGCCGTGAAAGGGACATGAGGCCTGTCGCTTTGTGATTGGCTGCCTCGGAAACTCGATGTTCCTGGATCCGGACCCCAAGGACCGCCGGGGCTTCCTAAAAGGCATTGGGCCACCAGCTCAACGTGGTGGGGCTTTAACACAAGCGCTGGCTGTGGGGTGCACGTGCGGGCTTTGGCCAGCGCAGCAATCAGGGGTTCACTGGAAAAAAAAGTCACTAAATCGTGTCTTCTCGAGGGCTTTCGACTGCGCTTGGCGAACTCACACTGCTTCTGCTGCCCAACTTTCTCCCCGCCGTCGGTGCAGAGCAATTGGCCCGGTCCTGCATGTCCTGGACTGATCCCCAGCTTCCTGTCGTCCCCCCGAATTTCGATCCGTGCAGTTCCAAGTCATGGCCGAAACTACCCCTGCCGCCGCCCCCGCGGCCAGGCCCACGAAGCCTGACGAGGCCGCTTACAAGAGCAGCCTCGAAAAGGCCGATAAGGAGCATGCTGCCGTCATGGCCGAATACGTGAGCTGAAGCCGCCCGAAGTCTGCCCCTGGCCCAATGCCCCGCAGCTCGTCGTGTGCCGGCCTTTGTCTACTCACCATGCTCTTGCTCTCTCTCTCGACAGAACGCCATCAAGGCCAAGATCGACATCGCACAGCCGAACAAGAACAAGGATTCCCCGAACCCGACCCAGAAGCGCCGTCAGGAGCTGATTGCCCAGGCCAACGAGATCCGCCAGAAGCAGGGCGCCGGCAAGAGCGCCCGCACCACCAAGCAGGACCAGATCAAGCGCCTAGACGAGCAGCTCAGGAGCCGCATTGCCGAGCAGAAGACGGCGCGTGGCAAGGTCGGCTTCAAGAGCGCCGAGGATGTCGACCACGAGATCGCCCGGCTGGAGAAGCAGATCGACGGCGGCATGATGAAGCTGGTCGACGAGAAGAAGGCCATCGCCGAGGTTTCCAGCCTCCGGAAGCAGCGCAAGAATTTTGCCCAGTTCGACGCTCAGCAGAAGGAGATGGACGATCTGCGCGCCAAGATCAAGGCCATCAAGGACACCATGGAGGACCCGGAGCAGAAGGCGCTCAGCGAGCAATACAACAAGATCCAGGCCGAGATCGACGCCATCAAGGCCGAGCAGGACGAGGCGTACAAGGGCCTGTCGAGCCTGCGCGACGAGCGGACGAGGCTGCAGAACGAGCAGCGCGAGAAGTTTGACGCCATCCGCAAGATCAAGGACGAATACTACCAGCAGAAGAAGGCCTTCTCCGACTACGAGTGGGAGGCCAAGCAGAAGGCCAGGGAGCGGAGGAAGGCCGAGGACGCACGGAGGGCTCAGGATGCCAAGAAGGAGCGGGCCCAAAGGATGCTTGCCGAGGCCAGCGATCCTGCCTACCTCGAGGAGATCCGCCGCGCCAACAGCCTGATTCACTTCTTCGACCCCTCGCACCAGGTCGCCGAGAAGGCGCCCCTCCTCGCTGCCAGCGGCATGACCGCCCAGGCTACCCGCAAGGTCGACGACTCGGCCCTGAAGGGCACCCGCCTGGTTCGTAAGGAGGACCGCGAGGAGGACTACGCACCAGCTGTCAAGAAGGGCAAGAAGGGCAAGAAGGGCGGCGCTGCGGCCGCCGGCTCGGACGCCCCTGTTGCCTCAAAGTTCAGCTGTCCCCCGTCGGTGATGGAGGACTGCGCCTTTATGGGTATTGACCCGCCCATGAGCGCCGCCGACGTCCCGGCTGTGATCGAGAAGGCTAAGGCCAAGCTGGACCACTGGAAATCTGACCAGGCCGTTCAAACCCAACGTGTAAGTGTTCTCGGCAGCCTATCCCGTCCAAGTGATCCGAACCGCGGTGGACTGACAATCGTCAACAGAACGTCGACAAGGCCAAGAAGGAGATTGAGAAGATCGAGGCTGAGGAGGCCGCGGGACAGGGCGGCTCCAACGGCGCTAACGCCAAGGGCGAGGACAAGGCCATCACTGAAGCCACCTGGGACCTGAAGGAAGCCAATATTGAGGACAAGGCCATCACTGAAGTCACCTCGGACCTGAAGGAAGCCAGCATTGAGGACAAGGGTGAAGAGGGCAAGGCGTAAATCCCGCCGCTGGCGTCTCACCGGGACGATTTCCAAGCCCGATGGCACAAACTCACCATTCATCTGACGTTTCTGGGGTGGAAAAATGGGGGGACGATTTCTTAACATATATAACGCGATTTGCATATCATCAGGAACTAAAAGGGCTGATTACGGAGAGCTTCTGCTCTGGGGGGAGGGGCTGGGACAGTGGGGTATATCATATTTGGCGATTTTGGCACTCCTCGACTTTGTTCCTTTACGCAGCTACCGTCGGTTTTAGGGCTCGAAAACACATATATACAATAATAGCAAACGCCGGTGGCGCTTTCGCTTGCCTGTCATGACGTGGTGTGCGCCCATGGAACCTACGCTGTGTGCCACATGTTTTCCTTTCCCAACCGAGAACATGTACACGCACATTGGTAGCATCACGGAGCGTGGCACTCTTTATCCCTGAAACGGCTTTTGTCTGTGCCTATACAAGGGATATTCTATATGAAAAATGTTTTCAATTTTTGCACAGGTTTGTTCGCTAGATGGTATCGCTGCCCGAGGCCTGACCCTCCACGTGAATAGCATCTGCAGGTTCGCTCATATTCGTCCTGAAAGGCTCGCCGCACAGACGTTCGAATCCTTGCTTTTTAGTTGCCCCCCGCCCCTCGCAATCGAAGCAGATCTTCCGTATCCAGCGCGCGGCAGAGACCAATGTTCTGCGCCCGGTGCGTCAATTGGGGTATAGCGACGGCCTCTGGGGATATCACCAAGACAGAGGAAGGAGGAGAGAAGGAGAAAAAAAGACACGAGTGATAAAAAAGAAGGGAAAACATATGAGCCCATTACCGCATCCTGGCTCTTCATCTTGGATACACACTATTTCGTCTATGATCGCGCGGCGAGGAACAAAATCGAGTCCGAGATGAGGAGGGAAGTTGGGGAATAAGATTGCGCTAGGCTCGAAACAGAATAAATAACGCCTCATCCGTCCAGTCAAATCCGAGAGGTCAAAAAGTCCGCCTTTGAAGAGAATAACAATAAGAAGAGGAGCAAAGAGATGGAAACAGTTTGAACCGTCAAAGCTCAAAGTGAGAGGGAATCAAAGATGATCGAAACAAACAAGCAAAAAAAGACGACATGATATCGAGGAGGTAGATAGGAGTCGCGGAGAATCTAAAGAAAATGAAATGCTCCCCGCCTGCTATGCAAGACGTATTTCGTCCCTTTTGGTCCAAGGTCATGCAAAGTAGCCGCTTGCTCTCTTTCGTGAATTTCGTTATGGCGTGAGTCTCGTGGCATCTCGGCATATCAATACGGGAAGAATGAGAGATGCATAAGTTTTGATGTCGGGGGGGTTTTCTTCTTCTTTGGTTTCCTTTTGAGGAGAGGCGGTTTGCCCCACACGTCGTCGGGCTCCATGGCTAAAAGGAGGCTGAAAACGGAGGAACAAGGAACCTGCTCGTCGGAAGTAAAAGAGCAGGAGGAGAAGTGTGTGGAGCAAATATCTCGAGGATCAGTACCCGCCACCCAGGTGCCCAGGGTGCCCAGGGTGTCCGGGAATGGTACCGGGGTGGTAGAGAGATTGCGGTCCGGGTGGATATGCCGGTGGTGGCGGTGGGGGCGGCACAAAGGCGCCCCTGGACTGCCTGCGCAGGCCCGGTGTCCTCCTCTCGTACGTCGCATCCAGAGGGGGTGGTGTTCTCCTCGCCGGCGGCAGCTGCTCATGAGGGGTGATGCTCCCGCTGGCCACTGTGGGAGAGGGCCCGCCACCCCTCCGGCCGGCCTTGCGCTGGCCGGAAAGGGCGCTCAGGGGAGGGTCCTTGACAGCCGGATCCGTGTCCTCGGGCAGGGACAGGTCGACCAGGCTGTAAAAGTACTCGAGCACCTCGGGGTACCGCTGGACCGAGGCCTGCCAATCGTCGTCGATGCCGCGTTTCAGCGTGGCTTGTGCCGCCATGACCTCGTTTGGGTGCGGTGGTTGGTGATAGTAGTGGTACGAGTGAGCGGTGATACGTTCAAGGTGTGCCGAGTGGGCTGCCTTGCGCCGCTCCGTCTGGTAGTGGAAGTACTGAAGGATGTAGTCCTGGGCATGCGACCGGACCCACGTCCTGGCGAGGGAAACTTTGGTGAGCACAGATGCGGCCGGGACGGGGCGGAGAGCAAAAGGCCGGAGTTGGAGACAAACCTGATGTCGTTGTATACCGACTGCATCATCCTCTGCTCGGCCTGCCTCACCGCTTGGTCAAGCCCCTTGGCCTCACAGTCGCATCGCAGTGTTGCCGGAGAACGGCATATGGCGCAATCCGGATCCATCCTTACTATAGCCTTCCGAGGCTTGACGTCCCGGAAATCTCTGTGGTCTCTGGTATACATGGTTTAGTGGCGGGATCGACGGCGGCAGTGGAGACGAGTATGACGATGGGAACGGACAACAAAGAGTTTGGGGTATCAAAACAAAGCAAGAACGGAAAGCCAGAACAAGAAAATCAAATAGGAAGCCAGGCAGTGATGCGTGGCCGTGATACACAGCGTGTTCTCGACACATTGGCCAGGCGACAAGCTCCCTATGACCCAATGGAACTGGACCAGCCAGGAGGGTGAAGCACACGAGAACGAGTGTTGCGACGACGGAGGGGAGTGGCATAGACCAGACGGGACATATAGACGTGGTCCTGGGTAGAATGGAGGCGGGGGGAAGGGAGAGAAAGGGGAGAGAGGGAACCGCCAAAGGTATAGATAGATAGCTACGAGTATATAGCATGCAAGTGGGGGGATGCAAGCAAGATGCGAGACTAGTCTACTTACCTGTCTCTCAATGGCAGACTGCAGCCGGCAGAAGGGGTCTCTAGGGGTGGCAGAGCAAGATCGACGAGCAGACACACGCACAGCGAGGGACTGTCGGGCGCGGGATAACGAAGCAGCTATGACGAGAGGGGCGACACAGTGAGCGCACGGCACTGCGGCTTTGTGCTGCTGCGTTGTTGTTTGCTCTGCGACGTTGGTCCTGTGCTGCAGGTCGCACCGGGGGCACGCACAGAGAGGCAAGTCTGTGAGAGCGCGCGATGTGTCTGGCGGGGGAGATGGGGAGGAGGGATGGAGGGAGAGAGCGAGTGAGTGAGGCGGCGGAGGCGGAGGCGGGACGGGGTCGGGCCAAGAAGCTGGGAAGGACAGGGCAGCAACGCAACGGGCAGCCGTCGCAGGGCAAGGTCGCGCTGGTGGCGAGCCAGGTCGACAGACAGGGAGATGTGGATGCGGATGCAGAGAGAATGGGGGGGAAGAGCGTCGAGCCCAAGATCTCTATGGCGAGCGACCAGCAGGGCAGGAGGGGAAGAGGAGGGAGGAAGAGCGGCGCGCGAGGGCAGGAGAGGCGGATTGAAGCCCTTCTCCCAGTGGCACCAGTGGCACCAGCGGCAGGCCGGGCCCCAAACAGAGCCGAGCTTGACCACGTTAGTCCGGGGGTCTGGTGTCGTGGCTCGAATGCGGGCTCCTGGATGGCATGCAGCCCAATCGCCCGCGTATCCACCCGTCCCTCTCTTTCCTGGCCCGCCTGGCTCCGGCACCAGTGCTCCGTGCCCTGTGATCTGGCCCGACGACCGTCTCCGAGGTAGTCAGAGAGTCAGTCAGACGAGGTGGCGGAGAGGCATCTGCTGTTGCGGGGTGGGAGGTGGCCGCGGATGTGGTGTTGAGAGATGTTGCCGGTAGCAACCTCGAACTTGGGATGGAGTGAAAAAGTTCTGCTCTGGCGTGACCACTACGATGCACAAATCTCAACAAACGCCGGCTGTGGCCGAAAAAAAGCGAGAGAGTGGTTGGTTATGTAAGTCAGCCGCCCTTTGCGGACATTAGGTTTGTGTTTATTGCGTTGATTGCATTTATTTGTTTGCTGGCCGTCGTTAGGCTCTTGGGCAACACCTTCCTTCACAGGAGCCAGGCACACACAGCCCCATTTCTGATTCAGTCTTGTCAATATTATTAATCCGTGCGGCCCTTTTGGGTGCGCGTGCCGAATTGAAACCCCGTTCACACACTACGGTTGAAGCATCAGATGAGAAATGAACGAGAACGAGGGAGAGAGAGAAAAAAACAGTGAGCGTCGAAAGGGCGGAGAACGGCTGACGGAGAGGGGCCGGAGCCGAGATGGTGCTCTGTAAATCGGTCGCACCAACTCCAACCGGAAAGGGTTTATGGCAGCAAGGGAAGATTAATCTCCACCACCAACAATGCGGCAAGCAACCACCTAGACACCCAGACCAGGTCAGCAGTGAGGGGCAACATCAGACACAACGTGCAAGCATCAATACGCCGCGACCGGCAGCCCCAGCTTGGTTGGGCCGCAGGACCGGCGTGGACTTGGCCCGCTGCGAGGGTCTGCGTTGCGAGTCCGTGCCAGCCACTTACACCGCAACTTCGTGTGGGACCACCCCCCTTCCTACCTGTTTGTGCATGAGTGCCCGACCATGCACACAACACCACAATGCAAGCAGTGAGCGCAGCGGTGGCACCTCTCGGCGCTGCTATATCTGTCTCCTGCCTGTGCTGTGCGTCTTTTGGTTCGCCTCCACACGCTTCCCCACGCCCACCGTGTCGTCTCCTCCCGAGCTGGGCGCGGGCAACACTATCGGAGGCGGCCAGGCCCCATGCCACCTGCGCCGAATCACAGCCGCATCTGGCCACCCGACCGCCCTGTTTGTTCGAAGCCCCCAATCCAATCCCTCCTGCCCCCTCCGCAGATTTGCCCTTCCGAGGTTGGACCAGTCGTCGTGTGTTGTGGCCAAACGGCGTCCTCGAGGTCTTCGGCTGCAGGTTCCATGATGCCTGCCCTCCAGAGGCATGTTCGCAGGGACCAGACGAGGAGCTGGGACGAACTGCGGTTATAAAGAGATGAGATCGGCTGGTTGGGAACTCGGAGCATGGGGACATGAGATATGCGCCTAAAAACAGCCCCCGACGGTGCCGACGAGGGGGCGGTCTGGGCGGAGGGAATTGAGGTGTGGGGTCGGGTGCAGCTCCCGTGAGAGGTGTGACCTTGGATCATTGGCACCGGGCTAGCTCTTATCTTATCGCCCTAAAATCATCCAAATCCCATTGACCACACACAGCTCGAGCTGCCCACCCGTTGAGCTTTTTTCTCGTCGGGAAAAACGATAGACAACTCGCGGCTGGTCGAGCCCGGGTCCTGCAGCCAACGCCATCTCATCCAGACCCCTGACAGCGACCATGCCACCCCGGTGTCCGCGCTCCTCGCACCTCTCCCTGCCGTTCCTCTACCCCTTTTTGTTCCGAAGCGGCTCTGCACCCGCCCCGCGACTGCCCAATTCCATCGCCCAGATCCGACACCACATCACAGAACCATCGTCTCCCGATGACGTGTCGACTCGTCTCGACCCCGACCCCGACGACTACTCGTCCCCACACTTCGCCGACAATGCGAAGCTGACACTCTACGCTGGCGGAGGTGGCCATGGCTGCATCTCCTTCCTGAGGGAAGCCTACGTGGAGGAGGGTCCTGCCAATGGCGGGGACGGTGGCCACGGCGGAAACGTCTACATCCAGGCCGTCCACGGCGAGACCTCGCTGCACAAGCTCTCCAGAAAACGCTTCATCCGCGCCGGCACCGGCAAGAACGGCCAGGGTAGCTCCAAAACGGGGCAGAGAGGAGATGATGTGGTGATTTCAGTCCCCGTAGGCACTGTCTTGAGAGAGATCCAACGCTACGACCCAGAAGCAGAGGAGCGAGAGGTGGCGAGGGCGTTTTATCGTCGCAGGAAGTCTGCACAAAAAGCAGCCGCGGATTCCCTCGAAGCCGCAGACTTTGATGGTGGGGAGGACCCCCTCAGACACAAATGGATCCTATACCCAGGCATTTCGGCCACCGAGGCCGCCAATATGGAGCTGCCCCGGCTGCCAAAAAGGACGCGAATATATGCCCAGCCTTCTGCGCCAATCCATCTTGACCTGTCTCGCCCAACCCCACGCCCGATTCTCCTTGCCGCCGGCGGCATCGGCGGCCTGGGAAACCCCCATTTCGTGTCGAGGGAAACTCCGCGGCCGCTGTTCGCCACCAAGGGTGAACGCCCTGTATCCTTGAGGATAGAGCTGGAACTCAGACTTCTGGCCGATATCGGTCTGGTGGGGCTCCCCAACGCCGGGAAGAGCACCCTTCTCCGTGCCATGTCCAACAGTAGGGCGCGCGTCGGGTCGTGGGCCTTTACTACCTTACAGCCAAATATCGGGACCGTAGTGCTAGACAACAACAAGGGAAGACCGCTAGTTAGGAGCACCCGCCGGGTCCCTGTTAGCGAAGAAGATGTGCACTCCGGGGTCGCGGATCCAGACGAGACCGAGGTTGTGCCTCGGACCCGGTTCACGGTGGCTGACATCCCCGGCCTGATCGAGGGGGCACACCTAAATAGGGGCTTGGGGATAGCTTTCCTGCGCCACGTGGAGCGCGCGGGCGTCCTGGCGTTCGTGATCGATCTAGGGGCGGGCAACGCCGTCCAGGCCCTAAAGGCGCTGTGGAACGAGGTCGGCCAGTACGCGCAGATGCGGGAGGAGGAGGAGCGGGATCGTGAACGTGACACACGCATCGAGTGGGAGGATGCTGGAACGGGCACAACGCATTCTCGATATATGGGACGCGGGAGCGGCATGATTTCGGCCGACTACCCGCCCGCTCCCGAAAGCGTCTCAGGGCTGCACATTGCTGCGAAGCCCTGGTTCGTGGTGGCTACCAAGGCGGACCTGTCATCAACGCAGCAGAACTTCGAGGAGCTCAGAGACTACCTCGCGAGCATCAGCCGAGGCGACGCGCCCCACCCTAGTGGCGTCGAGGGTGCATGGACCAAGGATTGTGCGGCAATCCCCGTAAGCGCCATAAACGGCCATGGTGTCGACCGCATCGTTCACTGGACTGTCGGCCTGTTGGACGAGTAAAGACGGCAACATCCGGTTCATGGCTGAGAGTTTTGTCAGCCTCGCATGGAATTGTACTATAAGTAGTATCAAGCATCCATCATGGAATGCAATTGCACGCGAGCTGGTGACAAGATACCTAGTGGTCTAGGGCGTACTGTGGGGGCGGGGAGGACCCTATATGCGGGTGGGTGGGGTATCCGAAGCTTCAGACTCCCGCGCGAACAGCTCGGCTTTTTTTTTTTCGTCTTTTTTTTTTTGCCTCAACTCCCGCGACGACCGCCATCAAATTCACCAACAGCGCTTTTGGCGAAGAGAATTGTGCGCTATGGGTCGCAACAAACGTGGTAATGTAAGGCGCCCCTCAAGAAATGAAGTGAAGCCCTGCGTATTGTCAACGGGCCGTGCTGATCAGCGACGCTGGGCGTAGAACCGCAGAGGCGGCGGCAATGGCGGCCACTTCGATGGCAAGCGCCGTGCCGACACTGCCACCAACAACCGCTACAACTCATATCCCTCCATCACCAAGGAGAGCGAGAAACTCCAGAGGTTCTACGATGCGCTCCTGTCCTTCTCTGACGAGGAGAAGGAGGAGTTCTGGGCCGCTTACCGCCGGGAGCTCCCCAACAGCTTTCGCTTCTGCGGCTCCAAGGGTCATGCCTCCGAGGTCATGAAGCTCATGCACACCCGGTACATCCCCGAGATCACCGACATCACTCACGATGACCAGCCTGTCGACCCGCCCAAGCCAGTCGACTGGTTCCCCGACCTTCTGGCCTGGTGGATGACCACGCCCAAGAACGTCGTCCGCAAATTCCCCCCCTTTGCGAAGTTCCAGAAATTCCTCGTCTCCGAGACGAGCGTCGGCAATATCAGCCGGCAAGAGGTCGTCAGCATGATCCCGCCCCTGCTCCTGGACGTGAAGCCCGGCATGGCTGTCCTCGATATGTGTGCCGCCCCGGGAAGCAAGGCCGCACAGCTGCTCGAAATGCTCCATGTCGGAGAGGAGGGCAGGATGAAGGCCTTTATGAAAAAGTTCGCCAAGGAGGAGGGCCGCGAGGCTGCTGCCCCCGAGGATCAGGAGGAAGTGGATCTGGAAACAGACGCTGGAGATGACGGCCGCGCCACGGGCCTGCTGATTGCCAATGATGCCGAGTACAAGCGATGCCACATGCTTGTCCACCAGCTCAAGAGGCTCTCCTCCCCAAACCTGCTTGTCACCAACCATGACGCCACCCTCTACCCCTCGCTCCGCCTACCATCCGATGACCCAAAGAAGGGCAACTACCTCAAGTTCGATCGCATCCTTGCCGATGTTCCGTGCTCGGGCGACGGCACCCTGAGGAAAAACGTGAACCTCTGGAGGGAATGGCAGCCTGGCAGTGCTCTGGGGCTCCACTTGACCCAAACACGCATTCTCGTCCGAGCTCTCCAGATGCTCAAGGTTGGTGGCAAGGTCGTCTATTCTACTTGCAGCATGAACCCTGTTGAGAACGAGGCCGTCATTGCAGCCGCCATTGAGCGTTGTGGCGGGCTCGAGACGATTGAAATTCTCGACAGCAGTGAGTCCCTTCCTGGCCTGAAGAGGCGGCCCGGCCTCAAGACCTGGAAGGTCATGGACAAGGCCAGCCGCGTCTGGAACAGCTGGGAGGAGGTAGAGGAGCATCACGGCGATGCTCGGGACAGCCGAACCGCGCCCGGGAGGCTTTCGCGTTCCATGTTCCCCACGACTAGCCCCGATGCACCTCAGATCCCCCTTGAGCGCTGCACAAGGATATACCCCCATCTGCAGGATACCGGAGGCTTCTTCATCGTTGTCCTCCAGAAGAAGGCAGAGTTCAAGGCCAAGACCGAAGCCGAACTCGCCAAAAACGGCGTGGCCGCTATCAAAACGGAGACGACCCCCGTCCCCAAGAACAGCGAGGATGCACAGGGGGTTAAGCGTGAGAGGGAAGAGGTGGAGCCTGAGGAGCCGGCAGCGATTAAGAAGACAAAGTCAGAGAGCGGGGCACAGCCCGCGTCCGATACACCGGTAGAACCAGCCGACGTTGGCATGACTGGCAGCATCAAGGAGGAGCCGACGTTGCAGCCACAGGTGAAGGAGGAAGAGGTGCCGACGAAGGAGGAAGAGGTGCCGACGAAGGAGGAAAAGACGCAGACTGAAGATGAGCAGCCGGCCGTCAAGACGGAACAGACCTCGGCCGATCCGCCGCAGGAGCTCAAAAAGAAGCGGGACGGTCCTTATGAGGAACCGTTCAAGTACCTGCCGACTGACCATGCCGTCATTCAGCTCGTACAGAAGTTCTACAACCTCTCGCAGCGCTTCCCTATCGACAGATTCATGGTGCGCAATGCGATGGGTGAGCCGGCAAAGGCCATCTACTACACAAGTGCGCTTGTGAGGGACATCCTGGTGCAGAACGAGGGCCGCGGCGTCAGGTTCGTCCACGGCGGTGTCAAGATGTTCATGAAGCAGGACGCGCCGTCGGCCGAGGTGTGCGGCTGGCGCATCCAGTCGGAAGGAATGCCCATCCTCCAGGGCTACGTTGGCCCTGAGCGAGTCCTTTACCTACACTCGAAGGAGACGCTGCGGAAGCTCCTGATTGAGATGTTCCCCAAACTAGCCGACGGTGGCTGGAAGGAGCTTGGGGAGGTTGGCAAGCCGGCCATGGACATTGGCCTGGGCTGCTGTGTCCTCAGAGTCGAGCCAGGCCCGGGGGATGGGAACATGGAGCGGATGGCGCTTCCGCTGTGGAAAAGCTTCCACTCGCTCAACCTCATGCTGCCCAAGGAGGATCGCGCAGCAATGCTACTCCGCATTTTCAACGAGACGTCCGTCCTACTAAACAAGGGCCTTGTCAAGGATGCCAAGGTTGAGAAGACGGAGGGCAGCGAGGAAGCCGAAGTCAAGGCCGAACCCGAGGATGTCGACCATGAGGAAGGAGGTGCGAAGCTCGACAGCGCGGCAGCTACCAAGCCGGTGAAGGGGGAAGCTGCCGAGGTGCCCGAGAAGATGGATCTAGACGAGACCCCCACTACTACGATACCCGCACCGAAGGTGGAGGAGTCTGAGACTTGAAAGCCGCCCGGTTGGACAGTTCAGCATATCCTAGGACGTTCTGCAAATTCATGTTTTATCGGTCTCTAGAAAAGGGGCTCAGTGGCCAAGGGAAAACGTGAGAATAAAGAGAGCGATGAATAAGAATACATATAAACACTAAATAAGACCTGATTTTGTGACTTGCGATGTAGCCTTTGTTGAAGAGCAATGCATCCCGCGCGTCCGAGTCCAGTCGAGCAATCATTATACCTAGGTACATTTTGCATAACGCCTTGGGCGCGCTTGACCGGCGGCAGATACGTCTTTCACAAATGGAACCCGCCGTGACGGGGAGGATCACAGAAGCGCCACAGGCCTGCGTCCTCGGCGGCCTTTCGCACCGACGACAGCTCGGCTTCCGTGATAGCTCGGTTGATATCAGCATACCGCACCTCTCCCGGCTCGGGCTTGCCGTCTCCTGGGCCCTCGGTCGCAGACGGCGCAAGGGCGGTTTGGCCCCCGGTTTCTGCCGAAGGAGCGGCGGTGGCAGGCCTGCTTCTCTTGGCCTTGCCGACGTTGGCGGCCGGCCTGTACTGGTCCATGATATGGACGAACGTGTCCCTCGAGATCTCGTCGGCGATCCAGCTCATAATCCGGGCCGACTCGGCCTCGAGCCCCGGCATGACGAGGTGGCGCACCAGCAGGCCGGACTGGGCGATGCCGTCCGGCGTGAAGCACAGGTCGCCGACCTGGCGGTGCATCTCCCGGATGCTGGCGCGGGCCGTCTCGGGGTAGTCTGCGGCCTTGAGCAGGCGGCGCGACTGCTCGGGCGACCAGAGCTTGAAGTCGGGCAGGTAGACGTCGACGAGGCCGTCGAGCAGCTCGAGCGACGCGGCCGAGTCGTACGCCGACGTGTTGTAGACGACGGGCACCCGCAGGCCCATGCCGGCGGCCGCCAGCACCGCCAGCGCCACCTGCGGCACCACGTGCTCGGGCGTCACCAGGTTGACGTTGTGCACGCCCCCGACGTCCTGCAGCTTGACGAACCAGGCCGCCAGCTCCCCGGGCGTCAGGTCGTGGCCCCTGGGCGAGTGCGCGATGTCGTGGTTCTGGCAAAAGGCGCACCGGAGGTTGCACATGCTGAAGAAGATGCTGCCGCTGCCGTTGGTGCCCTGCAGGCACGGCTCCTCGCCAAAGTGCGGCGCCACCACGTTGACCTTGGCGAGCTCGCCCACGCCGCACATGCCGGGCGTCGCGCGCCGGTCGACGCCGCACCGCCGCGGGCAGAGGTTGCACTCGCGCAGGTGCGCCGCCGCCTGCGCGCCCTTGCGGGCCGCCTCCGGGGCGGACAGCCGCGCGTACCGCGGGACGTAGGGTTCGTCGAGGAGGAAGGGCGGCGCGAGGTGCAGCGACCGCCTGCCGCCGCCGTCGCCGGGTCGGCTTGTTCTGCCTGCCGTTGCTGCTCTGGTGGGACGGCGGCTGTTGGGGCCGCATTTCGCCGCGGACCACAGGCCGCTACGCCACGGGCTCGGTGGCAGCCGGGCCCGGGCTGGGAGGGCGGCTAGGGATGCGATTCCCACTATTGGGCGTGTCATCCTGGGCCGGGCTCCTCAGCATAGCGGAAAAGGCCGCTACCCTGGAACATTGAATTTGGGAGATAGGTTAACTATGTGCCGGAGAGGATAAACCCATGTCGTTTAGAGTCACCAACTCGAGGCAAGTGCGGAAAAGAGGCTAAATAAATGCATGAGGGATCATCGATGTTAGGGGTCGCGAATTGCTGATCAATCTGGTGGTCAGTCACCCCCGCATATAGTATCCACTAAGTCATGGTACCTTTATCGCCCGCTTGGCTTAGTGGTAAAGCGTATCACTAGTAATTGCTAGTGTATGATAAGATCGTCAGTTCGATTCTGACAGTGGGCAATCCTTTCTTTTGTTAAGGCACCATTTCCTTTTTTTAAACGTGATCGCCGAGTTTAATTAAGCTTGTTGCAGATTAGGTAGCCCGCACGTAAATGCTGCATCCGCTCAATCCTTCCTTTTCCTACTATAGTCATGTTGCTGCCTCAAAAGCTTTTATAGGATGCATACCCAAACCAATACTACTTTACCTACCGCGTCCCGCGTATATGCGGTTTCGACATCTTATGATGCGGTCCGTCTTTCCGTGGTAAATGGTTCATAGCGATGGGTCTAGCGAGGTTGAAATGGATCCATCATGTAACCCTTCAATAACCCCTGAACCCCTGATGCTGTCTCGGGTGCGGCGCACGGTGCACAAGAAAATAAGTATATGTAGGAGTGGAGCTCAGGTCTGTTCGTGCGCCGCTGAGGAAACCTCCTCTTCACTTCTCTCGCCTTCATACCGGAGTATCTTCAATTCTCACCTCTTATATTTGTCATAGTGGCTGGTCCACCATCCCTTGCGCTCCTTTAACTAATAGGGTCCATCGAGCGTCCCCACGCCCTTCACCTCCCTCCCATACAAAATGCAGCTCTCATCGCTCCTCACTGTCCTCATGGCCGCGACGGCCCTGGCCCTCCCTCAGCAAAGGAACAAGGGCAACGGCAGGGCCAAGGTCACCGATCCCAACGGAACCATCACCAACGACGCCGAAAAGTTCGCCGGCGGTAGGACAGTGATACCCGGCGCGCAGTGCATCGTGGTTCAGGGCCGCAAGGTCTGCAACGACGGGACCGGTAACACTTTGTGAGTACCCGCTCCTCTTGTGGCGTATGGTCGAATGCTTCGGATCCTAGCGCAACCTGGATTGCGTTTTGGTGATGTGACAAACGGCTTGGTCTGGCCGCTAACCTTGGCAAAACTACAAAACCAGCTTCGCCGACGAGCCCTTCAAAGCCTAATCGGCGCGCGAGGGCCGCGCTTGTGTTGGCTATGCGACGCGTTATGTCTGTCTGAGTAGCCAGTTGAATGGAAAGGATTCGTGCGCAAACAACCCAATAGTTCTCACTTCATCGCTATGTGTGATTTTGCTTTCGAAGGCCCTCCCCATTGGTGGCTTGCGGAGCGCTTTCTCGCCTCATCCGACCAGATACGTCGTCGAGTAAATATCCTGCTGCGAGTCAGGGATCATGAGGGCAAAAGAAAAGTATGCCGCGGTTCAGCGGAATGAAGCGAGGGGCTCAAAAGGCATACCATCGACCGTCTATCAGGGAGCACAAATATACCTCGTGCGGAATCTGCGCAAGGTCCTGTGGCGCCCGCTGGCGGCGGTCAAAGTTGAGATCGTACATGAACCAGGCGTGGACTGGTTGTGGGGAGTCGCATAGCGGGAGGAAATGCACGGCATCAACCGGCTGCTCGCAGTTCTCGTCGTCGCCGTCGGGCGCGACCCTGAGCTGCCGGTTGAGCACGTGCGAACAAAATATCTGGCCCAAATTGTAGGCTCTATCCTCTGGCGGGCCGTTGATGTTGGTAACACGAGTCCTGATGATGACGCGGCATGGGCTGTGTTTGCTATCGACGGTCCCCTGTGCAGCTCCGGGTTGGGCAACATCCTCTCCAGGAAGCTCTTCGAGCTTCTTCATGGGAGGCTCGTCCATGACACGCAAAGAGTGAGGACGGATTTAGCGTTGCTGGCAAGCGATTATATGTGGGGGCTCTTGTGTGTGAGTCGAGATGTTAGTTAGGCGGTAATTTGCGGTCTGGTATGCAACAGAACCGTCGTGAAATGCTTGTGCTTTGTCCGGCATGCTGTGGCTCTGGCTTCTTGGTAGGGCTTGGTGTTGTGTGAGTGACGGATCCACAACGTCACTTGCCAGCAAACACTTGCGGGGAAATAAGCAGTCACGCCCATCCGTGTTCCATCGTGGTCTAGGCCTGCGAGGCTCGGGTCGTCATTCGGTCGTCGCAAAGGCAAAGAGCGCAGTTGTGCGTAGGGCCGATGCTGAAGGGGACGATAGAATCGACATCTTGAGCCGCCGAGAACAATTGCTGCCTGGTGTTTGCTTGGGCTTGCAGCACAATTGATACCTGATGTTCCTTACAAGTCCAACAAAGATGTGGCCTGGACATATTGGACACAATGCTTTGTTCATTCCGTGTTGGGTTTAAACGAAACCATGGGCGCCAGAGGCTCTCTGTAGCTACGCCTATCTAGTGGCCGCACTTTGGCGATCCAATTTCGCGAAACCCAACCTGCATCTCCGTATAGGCTAGCCTGTCGCTGACGGGCGGCGTGTCCGGCCTCGCTTGACGGCCCGCGGCTCTGCGCTGGCTGTCAGCTTTGTGAGCGTGCATCAGTGCTATGGTTCATGCTCTTGCCGCTGAGTTGGGGGGCATCTCGCGCCATGTGGTGCTGGGTTGGTATCCATGGATGACGAGGCGGGATTGGCGGCAGGCGCCTCTGTCAGGAGCAGGTTGCCTCTGGTACAGGCCAGTGCCTGCTCGCAATGCTGTGCGTGCGGCCTAACGGGCGCCGCAGCGCTGGGGATCCATGGTTGTTGATGTCGTCAATCCGCCTGGGCGCGCTGTGGAGCGGGCGAGTGCGAAGCGTCTGCCAATCAGAGGCGAGCGCTGAGTTGTTTCCTCGCACCCACCACCACCGGTCAGTCCCTCAGTGGAGAAGGGCGAAAGCGGGCGGAGAGAGATTGAGCGAACATCGCCAACTTTGCTGCTGCCATTTTCTCTCTTTTCCACGACACCCGAGAAGTCGCCCGCCTGGATGCTACCCGACCGTCGCTCTTGCTGTGTCCGCTGGTTTCGGGTCTTGCAGTCCCTCGATATACCGAAAGAAAAACCCAAGCCTAGTTGAATCTAGAACCCCCCATTCCACCCGCAAACGAGCCTTGCACTGTTCTTTTTCCTCGCAATCAAGTCACGATAACAGCCAACGCACGGCATAAATACCATCCTTTCTCTACCACCCGAACCCGGCATTGACTGCCATGGAGGACGACCCTCACAACACGTCCGAAGTTTTCGACGCAGTTGGCGCAGAAAGCCCGAAAGAGGACGCCGCGACCAAGGCGACTAGGGAGGAGCTCAAGCATACCGTCATATCTGACGCCCCGGCCGACATCGCGATCTCGACAGCCATGGACGAAGACAAGAGCGATCGCGCACCCTCCGCAGGGCACAAGACCCCAGACCTGAAGCCCCCGAGCACCGCCGACAAGCTGAAGGAACAGGTCTCGTCCCCAAAGAAGAAGCGGGCCCACGACGAGGTGGAGGAGGGTCAGGAGTCCAGCGTGTCGCCAGCGCTATCCGGGTCCTCGTCACCCCGGGACTCAAACGGCGCCAGCAGGGGAGAGAGGTTGGAGCCAGAGAAGAAAAGGGCACGCGACGAGCCAGAGGAGGAGACCAAGAAGCCAGTCGAACAGGTAGCTTCCCCCTGGTCGCCTCCCAATAGACTTCTGACCCCGCGATTCCAATCTAACAACACTGCTCTCTAGGCTTCTGCTGCTGCTGCCGCAAGCTCGACCGAGAACGCCGCAGACCCAGAGCCCAAAGATGCCTCGAAGGCGTCTGCTTTAGCTACAGAGAAGGCCGATGGCCAGCACGCTATATCGACAAGCGAAAAGGACGGGGCAACGACCAAGCCCGGGTCCACAGCTACCTCGACCTCGGCCTTTGCCAAATCGGGGTTCGCGAAGCTCAGCGGCGCTGCCTCGCCGTTTGGCGCCCTGGGGGCTGGTGCTGTCAAGAGCAGCGGCTTTGGTGGTAGCTTGTCTAGCTCGCCGTCGCCCTTTGGCGCTCTCGGCACGGGACCAACTCCCGTAAATACAGTGCCGAAGCTCACTTTTGCTACCCCGGCAGCTGACAAGTCTGGCCCGGCGGTAGCGGCATCGCCCTTCGCTGCTCTCAACGGCGGGCCGTCCAAGACTTTTGGGAGCGCGTTTGGAAGTGGCTTCGGCAGCGGCTTTGGCGCCTCAAAGCTCACTAGCTTTGCGAAGCCAGGCGGGGATCTCAAAGACGTCAAGCCTGCAAGGCCCTTTGGAGCGCCCGAGAGCGATAACGAGGGGTCTAGTGATGGAGGTGAGGACGACGAGGAACCCGAAACCGGCACCGAGGAGCCCGAGTCCGAGAAGGAGCCAGAGGAGCCGAAGCAAGCAACCGCCGCGGACGACAAGAAGAAGACCAAACTGCAAAAAGGTAGGCAACAGGTTTACTCTTTGGGCACATCCCCTGCGCTCTGGTCACGCTAACTTATCCCCAAATCCAGTCGTGGTTGATGATGGCGAGGCCGGCGAGACGACTGTCTTTGTAGCACGCGCCAAAGTGTACTACATGGACTCGGATGCAAAAGCCTGGAAAGAGAGAGGCGCGGGCATTTTAAAAGTCAACGTCCCCGAGGCTACGGTTGACGCCGATGACAACGGCGCCGTCATCCCAGAGTCTTTCGATGCATCCATGCTGCAAGGCGACCAAGACGGGGAGGACGCCGAGGCCGGCACCGCGACAACGGCAACTGGTCCCAAGGTTGTGCGACTGATTATGCGTCAAGACCACACCCACCGTGTCGTGGTCAACACGGCCGTCACCGGCGCCACCGACTTCGTTAAAAGGGAGATGTTGAGAGCTGCCACGTTTGCATTCAGCGCAGTCGAGGGCCCGGAAGCCAAGCGTGTGACGTTGCAAATCAAGGTGAGCCGAGAGCCGAGAGCACGCGGAATATGCCCGTACAGGACTCGCGGTTATGCTGACATTTATGCCTGCTTTCCCAGATGTCCCCACCGAATGCGGAACAGTTCCATAAGGTCATTGAGCTCATCCAGAAGGAGCTAAAGAGCTTAGGCTGAATCGAGGATACGACACATGGCGACACTACCTTTATGCTTGCAATGCGCCATAATCTTGGCGTCTGTCTGCCTGTCAGCTAAGCTAATAACTGAGACTGCCTTGCTGCGGCGCATGGAACCTGGCCTTTCACTCGGCCTCTGGCTAATGAGCGGTGGACTAGTTAGCACCCCTTGAAGCTCGCACCAGCCATGCTTGTTATTCTTTGATGTGACTGTAATTCTCAACACCTCTGAGCCGGGCCAAGAAGCCGTGGACGAGCGCGGAAATGGTTGGCCGGCTGTGGGCTTAGTGGACGCTGGCATCGAGATGTACGACATGAAAGAGTCACGGCCAAATTACCTATGATTTCCCACAGGTGCGGGTGGTTCTTTTTTCGGCGCCGGTATGGTCCTATTTGTTTTTGTAGATGGGGGTGCTTGATATCCTGTTTTTGTTTTCTATTGTCTCCTGGCCCCGGTGCCTCGGCGGCAGCGAAGGCCAGACATGGCGTGGGTATTTGATTAATGTATTTGTGAAGGGTGCCTGGAGAATAGACACAGCGTCCTCTTCCTTCCACGTTTATACATGGATGAGTGTTTGGCGGGTGCCCAGTCAGGTAGTTAGCGCGGGACTAGGTAAAGGCAGGTGGTGACTTTCCAGGGGGAGCCGCACCGCCTTGCACGTGATAGCGAGACAATCTCGTGTTCCTGCGCGGGGGTTCGTCGCGGGTCGCCACTTTCTGTCCCGATTCATATTCCCATTTCCGTCGAGCTTGGTCCTGCTCAATAGAGCACATCGGGTTCCTACTTTACCCATCTTCGTCGCAAAATACAACATGCACATGCCACCGCCTAACTGAGCAGTGGAAGTCCTGGGTGCGCTGCGCCCAAATCCAGTTGATTGACGACTATCATGCCGCCAGCGGACGTTGGCTCTGGGGCGAGTGGTCGCGTTGGAAAGCGGAAGCGAGGCTCTGAGGCCGTGCCGACTCCGACTGCCGTTGCGGGAACAAGCAGAAGGGCACCGAAATCCAAGCCCAAGGATGCCTCGTCGTCTGGCACTTTATCGGGGCCGCCACCTGCGTCTCTCTTCACGACCATTCTTCCCAAGCAGCCCGAGGAGTGCGTCATCGACTGGCCCGACTGGTTCAAGAAGCTGGAAAGGACATATCGCGCGCTGAACCTCGTATTTACCTTTTGCTGCACTCGCAAGCACCTGGCGACCACATTCGACACGATAAAGTCGACGGTTGAGTCGCACATCAAGCGTGACCTGCTTGTGGCCGACGTCGCTGCCATCGCTGCCCTCCGTCCGGATGGCGTTCGTTTTGCCTATGTAGACGAGGCAATGCTGCAACTCGACGCCAAAGGCGCCGAGAGGGACGACGCTTTCAGGACCGGCTCTAAGGGCGGCTTCGCATCGCAGAGCCTCGCCCCGGACTCGTCAGTCGGCGGATTCACCGGCAAGGAAGGGCTGGGCGCCGCCACCCACGGATACAGTGGCGTAGAGCCCGGTGGCAAAGAGGTGCTGCTCTTTGAGTTTGTGGACGGCGATCTCAAGCGTGAGGTGCAGCACAAGAAGACGGGCGAGCCCACGAAGCCGACACGGCGGCTACGGGACGAAGAGTTGAAGATGCCCGTCTTCGGCCAGAAGCAGATGACGGCGCTCATTGAGAAGCGGAACCAGCGGTTTCGGGCTGCTGCAGACGCCTTTATAAACCGATGCGTTTCAGAATCGACGGACCCTGTGGTGGCGCTCAGGAGCGAGGCGGAGAAGCGGATACCGATGCCTACGGCTCGGCGAGAGCCGTCTCCAGGCCCAGACACCTGTAGCCTCCCCGAGAGCATACCAGTGGAGCGCAAAAGCATGCCGGAAATTGTCCAGGAGCTCAAAGACAGCTCGTTCTACTCTGGACAGATTGTTCCTGGTGGTCACCGCGTGTTCGAACCACAGGAGCCCATCTTCGGCGAGTTGAACTTCTTGCTCAGCCAGGATCTTGTCAACGCTCTGTATAACGCAAAGGGTATCACACAGTTCTACTCCCACCAGGCCGTGGCCATCAACGGATTGAACGATGGCCATAACGTCGTGGTCGCTACATCGACGAGCTCGGGCAAATCTCTCATCTATCAGCTCCCTGTCCTCCATGCGCTGGAAAAGGACTATGCGGCCCGGGCCATGTACATCTTTCCTACCAAAGCTCTGGCGCAGGACCAGAAAAGGAGCCTCAAAGAGATGCTGTCCTACATGCGCGGGCTGGAGGGGATGCTAGTTGACACCTTTGACGGCGACACCCCAACCGAAGACAGGAACGCGATCCGTGACGAGGCCCGGATCATATTCACGAACCCAGACATGCTGCACCTTACCATTCTCCCTCAAGAGGAGCGGTGGCGGACGTTCCTCCAAAACCTCAAATATGTGGTTGTCGACGAGTTGCATTATTACAACGGCTTGATGGGCTCGCATGTGGCCATGATAATGCGCCGGCTCAGGCGGATATGCGCAGCCGTGGGCAATCGGCATGTCAAGTTCGTGTCCTGCTCTGCTACGGTGGCGAATCCCAAGGAGCATTTCAGCACTCTTTTCGGGATCGATGACGTGCTTCTGGTTGACTCGGACGGCTCTCCGTCTGGGCGTAAGGAGGTTCTGTGTTGGAACACCCCTTACAAGGTCCCTGGCGACGCGTCGAGCGGGCGAGGCGACGCAAAGTACGAGTGCGCCCGCCTGTTCTGCCAGCTCGTGCTGCGTGGCGTGCGTGTGATTGCCTTTTGCAGGGTCAGGGAGCAGTGCGAGAAGCTTGTGGGTGCCGTCAAGGCGGAACTTGAACGGCTCGGACGGCCCGAATGCATCGCGCGCGTCATGGGCTACCGCGGCGGGTACACGCCACAGGACCGGCGGCGCATCGAAGCCGAGATGTTTGAGGGCAAGCTCATCGGCGTGGTTGCGACCACGGCGCTGGAGCTTGGCGTTGATATCGGATCTCTCGACTGTGTGCTCACATGGGGTTTTCCTTATACTATCGCCAACTTTCGCCAACAGAGCGGCAGGGCTGGGAGGCGGAACAAGGACTCGCTCTCGGTCCTCGTTGGCGATTCGTTCCCAACAGACCAATACTACATGCAAAACCCGGACGAGCTTTTTACGCAGCCCAACTGCGCGCTGCAGGTCGACCTGGACAATATGCTGGTGAGGGAGGGACATATCCAGTGCGCTGCGTATGAGATGCCGATCCGTTCAGCCGAGGATGCGCAGTATTTTGGCAGCGACCTGGGCGAAATCTGTGCGCAGCGTCTTGTCCCGGACGAGCTCGGTTTTCACCACTGCCACGATAGGTTTCGACCGCAGCCGTCCAGATTCATGTCCATCAGGGACACGGAAGAGGAGCACTTTGCGATTATCGACATCTCTCACGGGAGGAACGTTGTGCTGGAGGAGCTGGAGGCTTCGCGGGCCACCTTTACAGTCTACGACGGCGCCATATTTTTGCATCAGGGAAACACCTACCTCGTCCGCGACTTCAACCCAGACAAGCGCATGGCCAAGGTGGAGAGGGTCAAGGTCGACTGGACGACGCAGCAGCGGGATTATACGGATGTGGATCCGATCGAGACGGAAGCCATCAAGCGCATTGATGGGTCTGCAAGCCGCGCTTACCATGGGACCATCCGAATCACGCAGGTCGTTTTTGGCTTCTTCAAGGTCGACAAAAGAAACCGCATCCTGGACGCGGTGCATGTTGATAACCCTCCAGTGGTACGATTCAGCAAGGGCATGTGGTTGGACATTCCGCGGGCGGCGCTCGAAATCCTGGAGGAGCGCCGGCTCAACGCGGCGGCGTCGATTCACGCGGCCGAACACGCCGTCATGAGCCTGATGCCGAACTTCGTCATCAGCGGCCCCGGGGACGTGCGGACGGAGTGCAAGGCTGGGCTCAAGGAGTTTTCGCGGCGCGAGACCAGCCGCAAGCGGCCGGCGCGGCTGACGTTTTACGACGCCAAGGGGGGCGCGGGCGGGTCCGGCATCAACACCAAGGCGTTCGAGTTTGTGGACTTGCTGCTGCGGCAGGCGCTAGCGCGCGTCGAGGCGTGCATGTGCGAGGGAGGCTGCCTCGAGTGCGTGGCCAGCGAGGTGTGCAAGGAGTCCAACGCCGTCATGAGCAAGGCCGGGGGCGGGGTGGTGCTCCGGAAGCTGCTGGGCCTCGAAGTCGACGTCGACGCACTGCCCATGGGGCCCGAGGAGTCGAGCCCCGCCGGCATCGAGACGATCGTGCTCGCGGAGCCCGTGCCGGAGAGGGCCCCCGGTCTTCTACGCGAGGGCAGCGGATGAGTGAGCCCAGAAAGCGGTCGAGACGATAAGCTCGTCGTCGCAGGTCCGGAATATTGCAAGGGGGGGCGGGACATTACACAGCGTCCCACGGCCCGAAATTGGCCTCGGGGACGGAACGACGCTGGGATCCGAGTCGGGTAACTCCGAACTGGTTGTGGATCTTAACCTTTGTCTGCACGTGGGTGTACTGGGACGCGAACCACGGCAAGGCACTCTCTGGGCCAGTGAACAAACCCTAGTAATCCAACGGAAGACTTTATTTTCTCACATCACATCGCTCGGACCGCTGCCTCCGCCATTTCAAGGCGCTGCTGGCGCTTCCAGATTGCAAGCCAGGGGCACCACAAAAACCACGCGATATTTCGAGCCCCCGCCAGGGTCTGGTTCCAGAAGTGCGCCTCTCTTCTTTGAACACCAAGCGCGGGCTCCTCCTGGTCGGCACGATGCGACTACCGGCTGGGAGTTTAAAAAATACCCACTCTCGATACGACGAGCTAGAGAAATTGGGCCCGGCCTGGGCAGCGGGGCTTCCTAATCGGGCAGGCTCTGGCCAAGCGTTCGTGCGAAACGTGGAAGCGCACAAGGGGCCTGATCGCCGCCCTCAGGTCGAAAACCGCTGCTCGAAAGCGTGCTCAGCCCAGGCCTAGGAAGGGTTGAGTTCGACTCGACACACCGCACGGGCTCAGGACGAGGACGAACCGCATGGCATTGGCGCCGGTTCCCTGGGCTTTTCATGCCTGCCTGATTGATAGGCTAGGATTGCGCTGCAAACCGCATCGCATCAAACCCGACATGGCTGCCCAAGCCCCTACCCTCTCAGTCTTACGGAGATAGGAGGCGAAAAAAACCGCCATTTTCGAGGTAGCGCCAAAAGCACACCATGTCCAGCCCCTACCAAATAAGGCCTAGCCTACGTTTCTTTTTCAACATCAATCGCAGCGCCAATTCGAATCCGCCCACACGCGTTTTAATCGATTGACTAGTGCATACCCCTGGCCCCTGCCCTCGCTTCACGAGTGACCTCCCCACTGTAGATTATTTAA